ATTCTGCCTCTTCTCCTTGGCCTTTCATATATTCTTCATTTGAATTTGGGGTGGAATCTACTATTCTGTCCCCAGCTGAAGCACACACTCTCACTTTGCCATTAGTCTGCACGACGTCATATAGAGAAAACAATGTCCAATTCTTTATTATTATCCTTGGAAGTGTTTGTATTACTCTTAAACTGAAAGATAATGATCCAAATAACCTTGAAAGTCTTTCTTAAGCATTGATGCAGTTTTTTATTATAGCTTCTCTGTTTAGTCCTAGAAAAATAAGAGGTGATATGTGGTGCATATTTTCTTCAAAGTGGCCACTTCTTGTTGGACAAAAACAAAGTTAAATATTTAAAGGAAATATCAACCAACACCAACCTCTGTGGCAAATATAATGAGATGGAACTCTCTTTCATGCCTGTGCCATCAGTGATCTTCAAATGAACTCTGCTTTGGAAATCCAACCTTAACTGATTTGGTAAAAGATTGCAGTACACTGGGTTTTGGACTAGTGGTGTCTGTTTTTTGTGAATGAAAAGTTGGACAGAATACCCAGCTTTCCCTTATTCTTCATTAGCTCTTAAGTTAGATCTGTTATAGCTTAAGATCAGATTACTTTCTTGATCTTCACTTCTTGCTGTGGAACATTTCTCTCATTAGTGTCAGTGTGGTCAGCAGCTTGTATGGCTATCAACCATAAAAATAGTGTGCCTTTATGGATTTGAAATTGCTATTGCTCTTGGAGAAAGACTCTTCCAGAGAATTTTACTTCTTCATGAGAGGCCAGAAGCAAGTGCAGTTCCATGGAAACGCCTGCATTTCTAAGATGTTCTCTTTGAATATCTCAGCTTTCCCATAAGTCCAACCAGCTGTCTCTGTCAATCATTGACCCAGTCCTTCAGATATCTTCATTTTTGAACACCAAATGATGCAGAGTTGAGATGAGAACCCATATATCTAAAATTACATTGTTTGTATGTGTATTGGATAAAGTTCAATATTGCTTTCTTACAGTCTGAGAAAGAGTAAGTTTAATGAGATCAAGTCCCAGAAAAAAGTTTGTAGTAAGCCTGTTGTAATTTGTTAGCAGCACATATGTCCTTAATGAATGTAGTCTGTCTTATTTAAACAGTTGCTGATCCTTGATAACAGTTGTACCTACACACCCTGATAAATTAGTGTGCTCATTAGTCTTCCTTTCTGCCACTTATCACAATCTTGAGACTTAAAAATGATGTGTTTCTGGGATCACTATATCCTGACCCCTTTAACTTTTGCCTACCTGTTCCATCTTAGGCAGATGAACAACTTTCCTTATTTCACAAAATATTTTGATGTCTCCTTATACTTAGGCCACAATGTTTATTGTACTTTGAAACATGTTAGTTTTGTGATTTTAGAGAACAAATGTTGGTGTTGGTATGCTGCCCTCCACCAGACTCTTTACATGTCTTATCTTACTTAGTTTTTAAATCAGCCTTTGGAAATACAATGTATTATCTTCATTTTACAGAGAAGGAAACAGGATCAGAGAGATTATTAAATAGCTTGCCAAGGGTCACATCAGTAGTGAGTAGTGGAGATTAGATTTCAACACAGGCTCGCTGAGCTCTAAAAGTATTTTCCTCAGGGTCTCTGAGTGGCACATGCCAGGAAACCTCATTACACTGCCTTTGGTATGAATGGCGCCCTCTGGAGTTGTGCAGTAATATTGTTGGAAGTATTTTAGCAAGCACATTCCTGTATTTGGAACAGTGAATGGGGGGGTAGGAGGAGAGCATTAGAGATTATAATAGTTTTAATTTTTTCTTTGTTATGTCACAGGTACATAATTACAATAATTCTTTTTCTTTTTGTCCTAAGAACCGTAGAGTCATTGAGGACCCTTAAGATCATCTTGCTTTTTGTTTTCTGTTTGTTTTTTTTTTTCACTAGAACTTTAGATCAGGCAGATGAAACCATGGGAAAGAGATGCGTCCTGGCCATGCGGGGCCTCTCAGATGCTGGGTCTCTGGTATAGCCATGTCACTGGGAAAACTGAGGCATAGCAATTTGGAATGAGACTGACTGTCAAGGTCAAAGGTCTAGAAGCAAGTCTGACTCTCAATGAACTCGACTTTCTCTCAGACCAATTTTAGTATAAGATGATCATTTAAATATCTATGATCCCATGCAGTCGTGCTCTTATGTTTTTGATTGTGCCTATCCCTTGTGATAATATTTTTTATTCTTTGTGAAAGGTCATTTAAATCCATTTCAGAAATGAAATGAATTCTTTGGCATGTTTGAAATTCTTTGTTGCTCCAAAATGATATTTTCTTATCACCAGAGGACAAACTAGAAATTTTCTCATCCTCATCTCAGGATCCAGTGAAGACACAAGTGAAGTCTTTTTTAAAAAAAATTTATTATTTTTTATTTATATATGACAGTGGAATATATTACAATTCTTATTACACATATAGAGAACAATTTTTCATATCTCTGGTTGTATACACAGTATATTCACACAAATTCATGTCTTCATACATGTACTTTGGATAATAATGTCCATCACGTTCCACCATCATTAATAACTTCATGCACCCTCCATTTCCCTCCAACCCCTCTGCCCTATCTAGAGTTCCTCTATTCCTCCCGTGCTCCCACTCCCTATCCCACTATGAATCAGCTTCCTTATATCAAAGAAAACATTTGGCATTTGGTTTTTTGGGATTGACTAACTTCACTTCACTTAGCATTATCTTCTCTAACTCCATTCATTTACCTGCAAATACCATGATTTTATTCTCTTATCGATGAGTAATATTCCATTGAGTATATATGCCATATTTTTTTTATCCATTCATCTGCTGAAGGGAATCTAGGTTGGATCCACAACCTAGATGCCCTTCATTTAGCTATTGTGAATTGTGCTGCTATAAACATCGATATGGCTGTGCCCCTGTAGTATGCTATTTTTAAGTCCTTTGGGTATAGACCAAGGAGAGGGATAGCTGGGTCAAATGGTGGTTCCATTCCCAATTTCCCAAGAAATCTCCATATTGCTTTCCGTATTGGCTGCACCAATTTGCAGTCCCAACAGCAGTGTATGAGTGTGTCTTTTTCCCCAAATCCTCGCCAACACTTATTGTTGTTTGTATGCATAACAGCTGCCATTCTGACAGAAGTGAAGAGTGGTTTTGATTTGCATTTCTCTAATTGCTAATGATGATGAACATTTTTTCATATATTTGCTGATTGATTGTACATCATCTTCTGAGAAGTGTCTGTTCAGGTTCTTGGCCCATTTATTGATTGGGTTATTTGGGTTTTTTTGGTGTTTAGCTTTTTGTGTTCTTTATATACCCTAGAGATTAGTGCTCTATCTGATGTGTGACAGGTAAAGATTTGCTCCCAAGATGTAGGCTCTCTATTCACCTCACAGATTGTTTCTTTTGCTGAGAAGAGACTTTTTAGAGCTCATTGGAGCCCTCATAAGCTGAAAGAGGGCAGGAGGCTCTGAAGAAGTATGAAGGGGGAAGCGCTGGCCCCTCCTCCTGCCTCATCAGCACATTTGCAGCGCCCTCCCCTCCCCTCCCCTTCCCTCCTCTCCTCTCCTGTTCATGGTTAGAGGATCATTAAGTTAGGATGGACCCTCAGCTTATCCTAACCTCCACTCTACCTTGAAAAAAAATACAAAACTGTTCATTTAGTTTGCTGGGTCCTTAAGCTATCTACTGATCCACAGAGATTGGAGACAGAGGTGCGGAGCCAGTTCTGTCTGCTGAGATGAAACATGACATCTTGAATGACATGATATCTTGAAAGTGAAGTTCACATGGGTTGAATCTTCTTCTGAAATGGAGGCTTTTACTTTTTCTGTTTACTGTAAACAGAGATGATGTTATACTGTTATATGTGTAATAACACATTTACACTTGAACCTAGGACTACAAAAGAGAGGCTTGCTTTTAGCTAAGTCATTTCAAAGAAAGGTGGTCTGCCCCAAATAGAGCATCAGTTTAGATCTTGAGCATTTCCTATTAATTCAAGGTCCCAAAGAAGACTTTGGTTTTTTTCTTACTTCATTGTTCTTATAAAATGTGAACAATTCCCACATGGCTCCCACATTGCTACTTTATTTTACTGACCTTTTGTAATGATCATTGTTGGTCTTTTATTTTTATGTCTAATATAGGTTGAGTATCCCTTATCTGAAATGCTTGAAACAAGGTTTTTAGATTTCAGCTTCTGGACTTTGGAATATTTGAACTTATATATAATGAGGTGTCTTGGGGATAGGACCCAAGTCTAATCACAGTCATTTATGTTTCATGTGCACCTTATACACATGTCTGAAGATAATTTTATACAGTATTTTTAATAATTTTGTGCATGAAACAGTTTTTGTAGCATGCTAAAGGATCTAGGAGAGCCTTTTTTTTCCTCTTAGAAAAACTGTGTCGTGCAGCATTTTAACTGCAATCCCTCACATGAGGTCAGGCATGGCATTTTTCATCTGTGATATCCTGCACCACTCAAAGTTTTGCATATTGGATTGTAGATTTTCAGAGTAGGGATGTTCAATCTGTACTCTGAACTACAGTAATCTTTGTAGGTATTAGCAGGTTCTGTGTCAGACCCACAAAGTAGGTTCTTGGCAAACCTTTTTTAGTTTTCCCAATAAGTGGTATAAATGAGATATAGGGAAAATGATTTATTCTTCAAGGCAAGCATAAATTGAAGCATATCCTGGCATTTTTCTTGAACTCCATGCCTAAACTCCCTGGCTAACTCAATCAACTACCTCTTCATCTTTTGCCTATTTTACATCTGGCCTCCTTCAATGAGTCCTCCTACTATTGTTTGAGACCCAATTATGGACATTCTCATTAATTTCACAAGCATTTACTTGGGTCTGCATGTCCAGCACAGAGTTATCTGTAGAAATCCAACTACAAAGTAGTACCTTCACCAATTTAATTAACCTTCCTTGGTGGATATTAGATGTAAACTGATATAAAATATTGCATAATGGCAAGGTAATGTCTGAGCTGCACCTTAAAAGATGGTTACCAGTTTCCAGACAGGCAGGGACAGGATGAAATAAGCTCTCTCTTATTCCAACAGTTAATCCAGACAGTTTTTATTTCAATGTTAGCTGTATTCAGAATTTGGAATGTAGCAGATTGTTTTTCCATGAAGCAGGCTATTTTGAAGTGCCATATATTTTCATCAGCAGCAAAGAGTATTTTACAAGCATTACCCTTGGTCTCGCAGCTCTTCAGATGATGGTGTAAAGCCCAGGCTTCTGAGCACTGTTAGAATTTCAGGGACACGGATGTCTCTGATGTCTCCTTCATCCCAGGCTGGCCCTCCTTTGCTCCTGCTAATTGGTATGCTAGAAAAGAAACCCAAATGGCTTTACTCTGGATTCCCCTAGGGAGTGCAGAATCTAAAGATTCAATCACAGTGTGACTTCACATTGTACTTTTCTTCCAAACAGTGCAAGATCATCCTTCAGTGAGGTGTGCATGCAAGTCACCTTGAGGATGCCTAGACCTGGGAAGTGTAAAGTGAGGTAGTGAATTATTTAAAACACACACACACACACACACACACACACAGTTAAGCTTTCTAATGAGCTATTTTTTCAAGTGATTGCTATGGTCATTCTTAATTCCAGTTTATTAATGTAGTGCTTTCAGGGAACCTATAACATGTGCCATAATTTCTGTATGTCTTCTTTTTGTTTTAATAGTTTAGTCTGTTAGTGAGTAGGCTCTATAGGACATTCGTGAATCTCATGCTCCAACTAGGAACATATTAAATGGATTGCTTATTCTTCAAGAATAAAATCATATGTAATTTTGCCCCTACTGCTCAAACTCATTATGCTCGTACATGCACAGTCCCATGCACATGAGGTTGTAATTCCCAGAAAGACTTAAGTTGTATTAAAGCTATCATATCATTGCTTGTGGGTGCCTGTGTATATACAGAGCAGCGGAGAGGCCAGGTTTCTTAGCCAGGCCCCTGTTGTGACAGAGCAATGAAATGTTTCTTCCATTTCTTTAAATCAAAAGGAATCCATGTCAGAGTTCTTCTATTAACTATTTTTGTTGCCCTTGAAAAAAATAGCAAAATAACAAACTTCAGTTATTTTCCACCTAGGTACAAATGAAGAAAATGATTCATAGGGAACTTGCTCTAAATCCCACAGCTATTAAGGGATAGAGATGGTGTTTCAGTCTAAATCCACCACTTATTACCCATCTATTTACTGGAAACCATGACTTCCAAGTTACCTTAATGGGCACAAGGCTTCTTTTCCTTAAATTGATTCAGCTCAGCAAAAAAGGATGTGACACCAAATTCAACAAATTCTTTGTTGAGAGTTGAATTAAAAATTGTTTGAAAGTTCACAAATGACATTTAATTATATTAATCACATACACACAGAAACTTAATATTCCCTCTTCCATAATTCCATCTTCCTCACTGCAGCCAATACATCTTTTCCTAGGTAACATAATTTCATTTAAGATTTGCCTTATAGGCTAGGGATATAGTTCAGTAGCAGAGGACTCTTCTACCTTGTACAATGCTCTGGGTTCAAACCCCAGCCCTAGGAAACAACAACAACTTATTAAATCCTTCCAGAGAGGAAAAAAATTAAAAATAAAAACCAAAAATAATACTAGAAATATTTACAATTAGAAAAGCCCGGTTTGGAGGAAAGTTTTTGTTTTTGTTAGGATCCCACCAGTATAACCATTGTATCAAACACAAGAATGTTTTTCATTGACATAATCATCTGCATTGACCAAGCACTTATTAGGAAGATGCTGTTCTAACAGAAACTATGAGGTGTTTTCAGATATGAATCTTTTATATATTTATTTTTTTCCATTTAGGATGACACTACTGGTCATATTTTTTGGTATGTAGGTACTTTTCCATATTTTCTGGTACATCCATGCAATCCACCATCCCATGAAATGAATGAAAAGCAAGTGCTTTTATTTTTAGTGAGAAAATTGAAGTACCAAGGACTTCTTGCTTGGGTTTCATCCAATTTGGTGCATGATATAAATGACTGTTAACTAAGTAAAAATTGGGTCACAGATGTGTTTTTTCTTTTTCACTGCTTATTGGTGAGCTGTAAGCTACACTGAAATGCTTGCTGTGAAACAGCTGGTGGAGGGTAGCTCATCATCCTGATCCAGGAGTGACTCCACGCATCAAATGCTTTCAAATCATCCCTCTCCATCAAAATCTTAAGCCAAGCTAAGGCCAGCTACGTAAGGGTACTTCCACAGTATCATTTGTTGGCCTGACAAGGATTATGAACATATTCTGTCTATCCCATGGCTAAATAGTCTGCAGTAGATGAAAGGCATTCCTGCTTTTAGAGTCAACAGGAGGACTTGTAGTGACAAGAGCCCAGAGTAATTCACTTATCTCTGCCTTTGATGATATCACTCATTAGCTCTGAGATTTTCTCTAAGCTGCTTACATTCCTCTCTTCCTCTCTGTTTTTCTGTATTGCGGGCAGTAGTATATAACCTTGAAAGGATGGAATGAGGACTAAAATAAATTTTAAAAGTACCAGTGTGTGCCTGAATATTCTATTTTTTTAAAGAACTGGAAATTGTAATATGCATATTCATAATATTACAGAATTTCTTCCAGAATATTTATCAAAAGCCTTTTCTTATGAAAGAAGCAAAAAAAGAAAGAAAGAAAAAATATAGTTTCTTTGTTCTATATGGGAATGAGCTGAACTGTGTTATATGCATCTCAGATATCTGGGATGCTGAGTTATTTGCCATGGTTGTGTAGAATGCTGAATGTGTTGCACTTTATGTTTGACATTTATAGAGAGCATATGTTACTGCTGACTTACCAAAACAACAGTGTTCAAAATATATCGAGTGACACTGTGCCAGAGTTCAGGACACATAATTCCAATCTCATAGTAGGAAGGAAAAAAACCTAAAGCATGTTTTCTGAACTTTACAAAAGAACAGATATATTCTTTTTCCACCATTATGTCTTCAGCCCAGAATATTTCCTTGAATCTAATTTGCATTCTACTGCCAAAAATGGAGAGACATGTGTCAAAAGTAAAATGGTTTAATATCATGAGACATGAAGTGGTTATTTCTGAAACAGATATAAAAGACATCCTTCATGATGTTCATACTTGTAGATTTACAGACAAATAGAATTTCTTAAAGAATTTGGAGACATAAATTTGCATTTTGGGGAGCAGGGTACCGGGCATTGAACCCAGGGGCACTTAACCACTGAGCCACATCCCCAACTCTTTTTTTGTTTGTTTGTTTTATTTTGATACAGGATCTTGTTAAGTTTCATAGGACCTCACTAAGTTGCTGAGGCTGGCTTTGAGTTCAAGAGCGTCCTGCCTTAGCCTCCCAAGCCACTGGGATTATAGGTGTACACCACTGCACCTGGTGCTAACTAATTTTCTGTGGGAGAGCATTTTTAAAATTTACATTCATAATTTAGTAACAGAAAGTTTACTTTAACAGGATAAAAGTTAAAAGGAGGTAATCTCTGATAATAAAGTTTCCTTGAATTTGAACAGTTTCATGAAAAGCTTACTTCATTATCCTTACTTTTCTTATTTCACACAGACCAATGAGCACTGCCATCAGCTCACATTTAATAATTGTTGCTCTGCTGTAACATAAAAACTAAAACTGAAACTTACCTGGAATTTTAATGAAGAGAAGCTGTTCTAAAAGTGGTCATTTAGTGATATGGCAAAAGCATTCCCATCTCTGGATAAAACACTCTGAGAGCACATACTTTTTGGACAGCAGATCAGAATATAATCTTCAGGGTTGGAGGTCATAGTTCTATTTCTTACCTGAAGTAAAGGTAAGAAAGAAACTTGAATATAAGACCTGATAAACTCCACAGGGCCTGAGATTCCTAAACCTTTAGTGAAAGGGTGAATAAAGCAGTATTTTCCTCTTTTTTATTTCTGACCACTAAAGTAAGGCTAAATCACTAGATTTAGCATAAATAGTTGTTTGAAATTTGCATATTGGTGTAAATCTGAAGTTGGAGCCTTTTTAAAATTTGTAAAACCATATGTTCCCTACCCTTCCACCTGCAGTATGCCTTCTCAGGATTGGATTCATTGCAATAAGCAAGAGCATTAGGGCTGCCATATTTTGCTAATAAAAATGCAGGACATATGACATGGACATATTTATACAAAAAATAAAAGTTGCTAAAAGTAAAACTTAAGTTATCCATAAATTATCCATTATCCATTGTTTTTCTGGAGTTCAAGTTTTACTTGATATATTTTTGTCTGGCAACCTTTGTGGGCATCCTGTCTTTCAGGTTATAGCCAGCCATTCCAAATGTGGAAAACAAAATAGGAGTACTGTTATTGTTATGTAGACAAATAAGCCTTATAATGTCCAAATAATTGTAAGAACCTTAAGAGAACTTCTGATGGGGATGTCAAGGGCATATGGGTCAATCATTCAAAGGTACAGGATTATCTTTAAAATAGAAATATGAGGCTGCTAAAGAAGAAATGTCCAGAAGAATATAGAGTATTTAATGTCTTACTGTGGCTATTCTACATAGGATAATGATATAAAGTGCAAATTTTAAGTAGTAGTAAGTATATGAATTCCTCTAAAGCATTTTTTAAAGGAATATCGCATTTCTGATTAAATTTTCATAAGGAAGCCAGTTCAATTCTGAGTTGTCTGAATATCTGGGTTGGTTTTAGGTGTTAGTTTACCATCAAGAACAATAAAAGGAATTTGCCATAGACTTTTGGGGACACTAGCAAAATAAAGACTTCCATTCATGGAAGGACAGTAAAAAGCCTACTATCTAAAGAACTTAAAGAATAAAGTCTAACAGGAAGCTGCTACTTAAAAAAAATGTGGCTTCCTCTCAGACTAATCTAATAGTTTTCTTGGAAACAAAACGACGGACCCCTGGGCTCCCTTGACCCACGGCTGGCCCATAGGTTCTGCTCCCCTCTCACTGTCAACAGGCACGGAATGTGGCTCTGGCTTGTTCAGCCAGTAGGTTTAGTTTTAGTTTGTCTTAGCTTTGTATGAGTATGGCACAGGTGAAGCCATGTCACTGCTGTATGTTCTGCAGAAGATTCAGTAGGTCATACCTATGAAATCACATTAAACATCAACAGTTTAACTGCAACACAGGTAGGAATGCAAGGAAGCAAGTATATCATTATATTGAAGTAAAAATACAAGTTTTAGCCTAAAGAAGTATCAGAACAAATCTTCATTGGCTTAGGGATTTATTTATCCAAATTTTGAGTGGTTCAGTTGTAAGATGGCAAATACATGTCCAAGTATGTATGGGGGTGAACTGCCTTTGAAACTCTGGGTGCTATTAATAGGAAAGCAACTGTTTGTTTTTTTATTTATTTTAATTAGTAGTTCACCAAAAAGACAGCAGTAAGAAAGACTCGGACTATTTTTTTTAATTTTTTTTTAGTTTAAATGAAGAAGCAGAAACTGGTTATTTATACTTTCTGAAATTCTAAATATAATTGTCATAATTATCCATAATTCTATTTCCTAAGGAAAAGGATTTTCAAGTAGAATCAGTATCTCCCCTTTTAAACCTAATTAAGAACGTTCTGGTGAGGTTTGACTTTATACCAAGGAGGATAAAGGGATATTCCATCATTCATGTACAGTATTGCACAGAGGTCCAACCTCCTTGTGGTTATTCCTCTTTATTATTATATATTCTTCCCTGTATCAATATGTTTTACTCTACCCCATGGTCCTTATTTTCACAGTTTGTTGATTTTATTGATCTTTCTCTCAGTTCCTATTATAAAAGGTTGAAACCTGGGGAGGGGGCAGGGGGTTGTTCCTCACAAGGTCAAAGTAGATTTACACATCTGTCATAAATGCCAAAGTTGCCCCATAGTTGGTTTCTAGGAATGTTAGATTTTTCTTTGGAAAGCGGAGGACCAAGTTAAGGGAATAAACATTTTTTTTTTTTGCAATTGTAAGAAAGTTTTATGGTACCAGTATACTATTCTCATATGTTTCCTTTCAACAGTTGACTTTCAAACTTGAACAAATTAGACTTTATGATATATTTTTTTAAATTTTACATTATTTAAAAGTAAATACTCCTCTCAGAATCGGTATATACTTTAAGTTTACTATCCACAGTAGAGTTACTTTTGTGGCTCTCTCTCTTAATTTCCTATTGCTGCTATAAGAAATTACCACAAATTTAGTAGCCTCAAATAACACAAATTTTTTATCTTTTAGATCTTGGGTTGGAAGTTTAAAGTGGGTCAGGAGGGCTGAATTCCTTCTGAAGGCCCTAAGGAAGAATTTCCTTCCTACATTCTGGAAGCTGCTTGTAATCCTTGGCTCATGGTCCCTTCCTACATTTTCAAAGTCTCCAGTGTAGTCAAATCTCTCTCCTGGTCTCTGGCATTCCTGCCTCTCTCTTAAAAGGACCCTTGGGTTTATGTTGGGTTCACCCAGATAATTCAGTGTAATCTTCCTATCTGAAGGTCCTTAACTTAGTCGCCTCCAAGAGTCCCTTTTACCATTCACAGATTCCAAAGACTAAGGCGAGGACATGTTTGGGAAGCCATTATTCTACCTATCATGCCATTGTCCTAAAAGCTTTATTATACACTGTCAAAGTACAAAATTGCAACAATTTGAAAACATTTTTAATTCTAGAGTCAGGCAATACTTCATTCCAGAGTAGATTAAGTGTTCCAATGAGTGTAACAGAAGAGGTTGGTTTTACAGACAGAGAAGGGCTGGGAAAAGGCAAAAACTAAATGACAAAAAGAGGATTGGTTATTTCAAAGTCACTTTCCTTGTAAAGCTGATACAGGGAGACAGACCAATATAAAAATAACTTACTGGTTAACATCAAATTATGTCAGGTTACTTTTTTTAAGGATTAAAGCAGAGGGAACTTCATTGTCATACTAACTGGTCTGTTTGTGAAATTTGACTCTCATTTTCCTAATTTCTTTGAAAGTCTTGATGACTTAATTTTGGTTTGGTGATATGAAACTTCACCGTTGGTGACTCCATTTTAGTCTGGTCATTGGAGCTTAGTCCAAAACAATGGCCTCCTATATCTTTAATGTAACATACCATTGTATAATACTGTCCTACTCTTAATGTTTATGTTTAATTATTCTTATTTTACTTCATATAACAGTATACTTTGTAATACATACGATATATCTTATGGAAAAAATATATTAAAAGGAATAAGATATACTTTTATTTACCTACTATGGACTTGTGCTAATCTGTTATAATTTAAGACATTTAAATTTAGAAGCACCTATCCTTTCTATGAAGATCCAGTACTTAAATGGCAAAAATTGCCAGGTTCTAGAATGGCAGGAATTTTCTTATTTTACCAGCTGCTATATTTGAACATTGAACATTCTCTTTATATAAATAATTTATTTTTATTTTTCATTGCTAATTATACAAGTTCATTACAGGAGTTGGTGGTAGAACACTCAGCTAGCATGTGTGAGATCCTGGATTCAATCCTCAACTCAAAACGCAAACAAAAAAAAAGTTAATATTCTTGGTGGTTTATTGGGTTGAACTGTATTCAAATTCCAAGTTCTTTACACATGTCTAGGAAGTCTTAAGGTACTCAATATTTAAAGCTTTTGATGAGGAAGGTATTATAGGCCATTTTCTTGTGTTAAAAATCACCCTTTTCCTTGACATGTCCCTTCCCTGACTGCTCAGAAAAATTGTCACAAGGCTTTACTTGTAAGTAACTTGGTGGGGTTCCTTGTGAGAGACTGAAACTTTCTTTTTTAACTTTGATATAAAACATCAAGATTAAGTTTATTTAACACATAATCTCTAAAAGATGAATTCTTATTAGCTGGTTAGATTTATCTCTTTAATTCAGCCTACATTTAAACACGATTATACATGAGCACCTGAAGTGCAGTGACCACATTAATTCAGCAGTTTTCAGTATTGCTTAGGTATGTAATCACTTCACTGTGGTGGTGCTTTACTACTATTAAGATCTGTTTCTACTTACAGAACACTTCTGACACCAAATTGTAGGTTTTTTTACACCAAGCAATGATCCAGTTCTCTATAGACATCAACTGGGTGTCCTATAATTCTGACACTACCCAGACTTAGTGTAGAATCTACAGGTTAAGCCTTTGGTCCCCAAATGTCCCCCCACTCCCTGCATTCCGATGCCAACCACAGGTAGCCAGTCCCTAGGTTACTCACACTTCTGTTGACACTAATTGGGAGGTCGGTCGCATGACTTTTTCCTCAGGTTTGGTCATTGGTTTTAACAGCTCACAGAACCCACTTACATTTTCCCATTTATTTTATGTTTAAAAGAGTATGAATGAGTAGCCAGATGATGACATACATAGCACAAGGTATGGAAGGGCCCTGCTCACAAGCGCTTTTGTCCCCAAGTAATTTGGGGTATGTCACCCTCCTGGCATAGATACTCACCAGCTCTAAGGCTATGCAAACGCCATCATTTAAGGGTTTGTACTGAGGTCTCATTACATAAGCACCGTTGATTAAATAATTGGCCATTGGTGATTAGCTCATCTCTAGTCCCTCCGTCTTTCCTGGAGGTCAGGAGTCAGAGTGCTGAAAGTTCCCACCCTCTAATCATTTGGTTGGTTCCTCTGGCAACCAGCCCCCCTCCTCCAACAGTCATATGATTAGGATAAACTCACATGTGATTGAAAGGGACTTATTATAAATAATGAAAGGTACTCCTCTCTCCCTGTTGCTTAGAAAATTCCAGGGCTTAAGAGGTCTGTGTGAGGAACTGAGGACAGTGAACTAGTATTTA